GGCTTGGCGGGGGCAGTGGGGGACACCAGCCAAGAGCCCAGCGCTTCTACTGTCCTGGGAGCACTGGGGGCAGGTGAGGAGGGAAGGCTAGGGAGGTGTGTGGGCCTAGTAGGAAAACAGCAGAGAGCCCAGACCCTCTGTCCCCACCTGTGACAGACCAGGGCTGCCCACCCACCTGGTCACATCACCCTATTTCTAGGTGCTCGAGGTCCTATGCAGGCTGCCTGTTCCTCGCCTACAAGGATGGGGCCATGTGCCACTCCTGGGTACACCAAGGTGGAGAGGGACTGAAACCTGCTACACAACATGGACCCAGAACTCCAGGGCTAGAGGCCTGGGCGAGTGGTCCCTGGTGTTCTCAGGCCACACAGGCGGTGGGATGCGAGAGGGAAGGCCTCATCTCCATGGCAGTAGAGTGGGAGAGAAGGCCTCGTCCCCACAGCAGTGGAGCGGGAGGGAAGGCCTAAGTCCCAACAGGCGCTGGACACACACAGGCTTGAGAGCCCAGGCAGTCACGAGCCCTGAAAGCTTCAACAGAGAAAGCCAAGCCCTGGAGTGCCAGGCTGGAGGCAGCCTGAGAGCCTGCCGTCACCCCAGCTCCAGGTCCCAGGGCTGCTTGCCAAGGTGCTGCATGTGCTGCTGCTGCCACCTGGGGGCCGTCCTGAACACCAGCAGCCAGGCCTCCGGGTTTCCCAGCAGAGGCAGGGGGACCCTCTGTCCCAGCACAGGCTGCAGGGCAAGGCATTAGGAGAGGCTTCCAAGGACCTGCCCCAGGCCCTTGGCACTGGGGTGTGGAGAGAAGCGCTTCTCACCCGGGCCGCCTCCCCTGCTCCTCGGCAGTGCGCAATGCACAGAGCTGCGTCCAGGGTGGCCCGGGGCTAACCGGCTCAGAGGCCCTGCGGGACCAGCCGGAACCCTTGCTGGCCTGGCCCTGCAGAGGCCCTGCGGGACAAGCCGGAACCCTTGCTGGCCTGGCCCTGGCCACACGGCTCCCTGGATCCTTCCTGCCCCAGCACCTTGCTGTTCCTGGCCGGCCACCCTCCCACCACCCTCCCCTCCAGAGGAGTTTCTCCCGGGTCCTCAATGCACGGCTCCTGTGGGACAGGCCTCCCTATGACTGGTGACCCGTCACCACTGAGCACACCAAGGCCACCTGGGCGTCCTGCACGAAGCTGTCCTCGCCCGGCTGAGCCGCTGGCTCATGGAAATGGCCTTGGGCCCTGCGTGCCTGCAGCCACACCCCAGGGCCCCTGCGCCAGCCACGTCGTCCCCCCAGGCCTGAGATGGCGCTGTCCAGGCACTGAGGGCTGGCTGAGGACTGGCGGGACACCGGCGGCAAACGCACCTGCTCTCTGGTGCAGGGGCCTCAGAGACACCAAGCGGCTGTGCCTGGGACACGACAGACCCGGGGACCTCAGGGGAGCCTGGGGTGCCGCCCTGCGGGGCCACTGTCCAGCCCTGGGGCCCAGTGCGGGCTGCTCTAGTTCTCCAGGAAGGTGGCAAGGTGGACCCACACTCAGCCCAGGTCACCCCAGCCTTGTGCCACCACGCCCAGTTCCACACCACCATGCAGTCCTTGCACCAGCTCACACCACCACGCCCAGTCTGGCACCACCACGCCCAGTTCCACACCACCACGCCCAGTCCTCCCACCACCACGCCCAGTCCGGCACCACCACGCCCAGTCCGGCACCACCACGCCTAGTCCGACACCACCGTGCTGTTCTCACACCACCACGCCCTGTCCCCACACCACTGTGCCCAGCCCCTGCTGGCCTGTGGGGAGCCTGTGCAGGGCAGGTGGCAGGGAGCAGAGGAGCACGGCCCCTCCTGCGACGCACCCCATGCAGAAGCCCACCTGGCGCACGGGCTCTGGGACCCGGAACCTGCAACAGCGGTGGGTCAGACGCACGGCCGCCTCCAGACTCATCCTGTGGCCCACGGAGACGTACAGGGGCTTGGTGCTGTGGTCATGGCTCCTTAGGGCCTGCAGCAAGGAAGGCGAGGTCAGAATGCCAGGGAGGGGGACCAGGGCTGAAGGACCGGACCAGTCTCAAGGGCCGGAGACTGACAGGTCCAGGGGCAGGGCAGGGCAGTGTGGGCCAGAGGCTATAGCTTGGGTCAAGGGTTGACACACAGCACATCCCAGGACCAGTCAGAGGGGCAGGGAGATGGGGGAGAAAGGGGCCTGGTGCATGTGTGTGCATGCAGGCCCTGGCACTGCCACCCCGCTGACCCAGGCTGGGCAGGGCACTCACCATTCCCAGGACAGCCCCGGAGCTGCTCACCAGAGGGAAGGTGTCTCCCCCAGCATGTAGCCGTCGTATCTGGAAAGCGGGGAGCAAACTGGAGAAGACTCCCTTCTCCGTGAAGGACTAAGGGCAAGCCTCTTAGTTTTTTAAAACCAAGCCATCCCTGGGCTAGGAAGGGAAGGGCTGAGCCTACGGTGAGCCTCGGCCCAGGGGGAGCCACGTGCTGCCCCGGACCCATCCAACCTGATGACGGAGGCTGAGAAGGGGATGCCTGCCCTGAGCCAGGGCCAGTGAGCACAGGCACAAAGCTCGGGTGACAGGCCAGCTCTCTCAGCCGGGCCAGGCTGTGGCACACAGGTGGCACACAGGTGACACCCAGCGGCCAGGGGCCACGGCTCGGCGGGTTACTTCCAGCTGCCTTCTCTCCTGCTAGGAGTCTGGGCATGTTGGACTCAAAAACCTTTTGTGAGAGACAGAGAAGGAAGAGACCCACAGAGGGGTCTGGAGCCACTTGAGGCGGGTCAGGGAACTCTTCCTAAGCAAGCCAGCCAGTCCCACGGGAGGAGGAAGGGCGG